CTGACACCAATTGTTACGATTATCCATGAACGAAAGACACAAGATCATGGTGGAATAATACAAGGTGTTGGATATTGACAGCGTTCTCGCTCTAATCCGCCATCTTGGCTCCCTTAGCTATATCAGTGTTTCCCTCTTGAAAAAACTACATTTTATCGCCTTTAAAAAAGTACTAAACTACCTCATTCCCTATTCCAAAACCGATTTGCAATCACTGAACAATTCTTTGACATTTACTCTATTCTTATCGTTGGCAACTGAAAATTAAATTAGAAATTTCAACATTAATTCGGCAAAAAAACATCGGTTTAGAGTTCTCCCCAAGGATTTGTAGTTATTTTGGTCGGTGCTTCCTTCCGCTGCAATTCCGTCTGTGGTTCACTGCCACTGGCCTTGCTTTTTCAACGATATAACTGTTTTCTTGGTAAGTTTAGATGGAAGATTTAAACAAGAACTACGTATTTAACTATGCATCTATTCCCCAGTGATTTTTGCTGCTGCAATCCCGTCTGTGGTTCACTGCCTCTGGCCCTGCTTTTCCAACGATATAACTGTTTTTTTGGTAACTTCTACCGCTAAGACTTTGTTGCTTTTTCCCTTTTCCCTAAAAACATAATAGTGCTACAAAGCTCAATAACAATATGGAAACAAATGTTAATAAGCCACAATAATATTGACAATAAATAAGATTTCACTACGATTGAATTTTCTATTAGTAACAGGGTAGTTATAGTGAATGTTTTATTCGATAACTAAAACTATATTTGATGTTTGTAGCGATAAAAATATGCCTAAATCAGCCAAATACCCTATGTGGGTCGGCTGAATCAGTAAAACGTGACAGTAGTTGACTTTTGAGGTTAATATATCGGTCTTGAGTTGGTAAGGTTTTTAAAAAATCCGCAGCTTCCTTTAAAGCATCGCTGCTAATTGCTGAGAAAACCAGATTGTATTTACCGACATAAGATGTGGTCTTGTACGACTGAAAGGTGGCCTCAATTTGTAGAAACCATTTGTCTGTCATCTCAGTTCAGAACGGTCGCAGCTTGCATTGCGATGCAAGCTCCACATCTTTAGTTGGCATTTTGTTCGATGAAATATTCTCCCCATCCGTCGATTCGCCCTTTTGTCGATTCCGTCATGTTGTAACGACTCGGGTTCACCACTAATTTTTTGGTTTTGGAAGTTTGACTATAATTATAGGACATTGTGTTTAATAAACTAAATTACCATTTATTGCATAAGTACTACGTTATATATACTACTTTCGCGAATTTAGCTTATCATAATATACCGTTTGTAACTATTTATATGCAAAATTTTATATGAAAAATAGTACCGAATTTCGTACTACTTCGCAAAGCGGGCTTTTTTTCTTCCCGTTTCTCTCGTGCTTCCATATTACAACCTTTTGTAAGGGAGCTGTCGACATGAGCTGTCACTACGTACAACACCTTGTATAATTCCACCATGCACAAGATCACGTAAGAACAAGAGAGTGAAAAAAGTCGATTTTTTTAGCGGGTTCTACGCCATCTTGTTTCACTGGAAAAGTAAACAAAGCAAAGAAAACATCGAAAACCAAATTAGCCAAAATTATTTTCAGCCACTTTAAACGCACAATTTAGGTAAAATGATGCAACAAATGCTTTAAAATGTGTTGTCATGTTGAATTAACTCTTCCTTACATGAATAAAAGTGTAAAATACTGGTGCTTGTGATGTAAACAAACGCTCAGCTGACAAACCCGCTTTTGCAAACATTTTTCTCAAAACCAGTTACAAATACAACGTCGCGTTCTTACGTGATCTTGTATTTTTGGTTCATGACGATTATCCTTGAAACCTCGTCCGATTTCCCAAAACTTCGGGTTCGTATCGCTGGATTGTTAAATAAATGCTAACGATGACCAAATTGTAATACAATTAACTTTATTGTACAACAAACAATTTTCAATACTCGCTAAT